ATAAAGTTTATTTATTACAACCACTAAACTCCCAAAAATATTTTTTTATGATTTAACCAAGCACTCTATCTCACAGCTCACTGTTCAATTCTCTATATTGGTCTTTGATATTAAACAATAATCTTCATAATGTTTGTAAATCTGTAATTGAACTTTATCTGTTCCTGTTTTCATCCCCTCTACTCAGCATGTGACACTTTAAGGCGGTTGGATGGAAGAGCTGAGGAAGCCAGAGGAAACATGAGCCTGAGCTCAGTGTGTGTCACAGTGTGTTAGTGCTCTTGTTGCAGGAGGTGTTAATAAGGTTTGTCAGGAGGAAACTGTATCGATTTGCTCAGTTAAACGCTCATTTACTCGTCCCAACGGCCCAATCAGCGGCGTGTTACAGCCTGCCGTAGGCTGAGGAAGTCTGCTCCTGTTGGGGGGAACTCGTTAGGATTTCTGCCGGATTATTATGCTGTTTTATTCTGATCACTGTGTGTCGGTGACACTTGGTGTGAGGTTAGGAAGAAACATTAGTGAAAGAGCAAAAGAAAAGACTCCCCTGAAAGAAAGTTTCCCACTGACTTTCTTTCTTTCAATATTCTGACTTTAATCTCAGAATATTAAAGTCAGAATTGTGGGATTAAAGTCCTCTATCCATCATCTCCCACTGGTTCAGATCCCCTGCAGTCTGCGGGAGGTGGCGTCCACCCTGGACAAAATGGCAGGCCATCACAGCAGATTACAGTCAGGATTGTAATTTTTTGCAGTAATCCTAATCCTCATCTGTAGAGACATGAAGTGGGGAGGCTGACATAAAGGCCTCTTTCCTGAAACAGGCTGCTGCTTCCCAGTCATGGGCGCCGCCAGGAATATGGGGCCCCATGAAAAAATAAATAAATAAACATTTTTTAGCGAGATGCACTAAAGAGTATCAGTTACATTTTCAAAGTAAATTTTATTGTAAAATTTCTACAAAGGAAAATTTAAAGGAAAAGTTAAATATACATTAAATTTAAATTGCATAAACTGGTGGATAAAAAACTTGCATGGTCAATTTATTTATAAAAATGAGGGAGAACACAAAAATTATTTATTTTACTGCTGGATTTTCTTTTATTATTTAAAATATCTATTGAGACATTTCTTTTCTTCTTCCTTTGGGCCCCACCTATATCAAGGGCCCTTCTTTCATTCTTCTCTACCTAATTTCTCCTCCTAATATGGCACCCCTGGATGCTCTGCTTGGATCAAACCGATCCAGTCGGTCTGCTGAACACTCCTGGTTTCCATCAAGCTATGCTGCTGTAGAAGTATCCACAGAACAGGAGCTCAGGGATTATTTTATAAAGAGTCTCCGAAGTCGACCCAGATGGATCTGCCTCCATAAGAAACTCCAAAAACCTGCAACCTGGTTTTATTTGAAGCTGGATTTCACATTTTTAGAGTTTTTTATGAAAAGATTTTCTATTTTTGGTCCAACAGGAAGTAAATAAGAAGATAATAAATCAAAGAAGTAATAGACTCCAAACTCTCCCAATAAAGAAAATGATAAATTCACACTTGAAATTCAAATGACAGAAACATAACACTCTACTAAATGATAATTTAGTAAAATAAAATATTGATTTTAAATTTCTATGTAAAAAAAATTATTCTATATCAAAATTGAACTGTCCCAAAAAAATTCAATTACCATGACGTTGAACCTGTCAACAGGTATCACTGATTTATATATATATATATATATATATATATATATATATATATATATATATATA